GTCTGGTGCATGTTCTTAAAGAATGTTGAGACTGTGATGTTCTGCCAGGTATTAACTGGGAGACCTTGGGCTCAAAGGATGGAAAACCCTGCCCTAAACTCACTCATCAATGAACAAATGTATCATCCCACCAGGTACAAGAGCACATGCCTGGAATCCCAGTTACTCCAGAGGCTGAGGCAGGAGGATCACAAGTTTGAGGCCCACCGGCATGAGCAACTGAGTGAGACCCTGTCTCAAAAATTTAAAATTATCAAAAAGGATTGCGGATGTAGCTCAGCAGTAGAGTGCCCCTGGATTCCATCCCCATACTGGAAAAAAAAAAAGTAATATATTGTCCCATGTAATAGGGAGTCCAAAGGACAAGAATGGCCTTGGGTGCAATGGGTTGCTGCTGTCATCAAGGACTCCTCTGCATTCCACAGGCCCCTGTGTTGGTGTCATTCCTGGGCTACTGGCAAAATAGTGAGGTTCCCCATCCCGTACCGTCACCATAAGGAAGTCTGAGGAGGTGTCTCCAGAGGCGGAGGAGACCTCTACTTGGATCTCCCAGGCTCTTGACAGGTTGCAGGAAGAATTTAGGGATGCGTCAGGCGTTAACAGAGAGAGGAGGAGCTTTTCCAGAAAGGGGAGCGTGAGAGCGAGCCCTGGAGAGAGGGACAGTCAGGCTGGGGGCTGGGTTGTCGTTAGGCACAGAATTAGGTAGAGAATGTCTGATCCCGGTGCGGTGCGCTGCATGTCCTCGGGAGTGGGAAACACTGAGCAAGACGGCGCCTGCCCACTAGGGGTCTGGCCCACTAGGGGTCTGGTCTGGCGCGGGTGCGAGCTTCTCTCACAGTCCCTGGCAGTCAGGTGGTCCATCGGGCCAGGGTCAGCTGCACCAGGTTAACGGTCTCTTTCCTTGGGTGCCGCTGTCAGGCTCACGGGTTGTGCCTGATGGAAAGTTCCATATTCCCAAGGGGACATTTTTCCCTTTAGAGACTCAGTATTATCTCAATATTCTGAGTTTCTGTCTCAATACCTAGCAGAGGCAAAATCTAGAAATAGAAAAGACTTTGGGTTCTTTTAAACATCGGGGGGGGGGGAGGATCTTCCTCAGATGTGTCCCCAAACCAGCCTCTGTCGTGCTGTTGGCCAGCACCCAGTCGCAGTCCAGTGACTGCCCAGGGAAGGTGACATCACTGGTTTTGCATGAGCTGGGGTTAGGCCCCCTTCCCTGTGGTCTACACTGGGGGTTCTGTTAATAAGAAATATGGGGGGGCCTTCGTACTGTGCCTGCCTCTCATGTCTGGCTGAGTTTGTGTACCCGAGGGGCTTTTTGGTGGCAGGTGGGGATTCCAGAGATGGGAGGAGCAGCCCATCACTGGGGGCTCCTGCAGGCCTTTCCTCTGGGACGCTCCTGTCATGGTCATGGATGACCATCCCCTGTGCTGTTCTCTTGCCTGGGGCTGGTGGGACCCCTGTCAGTTGTTCCCTAGGCCATCCTTCATTACCCCCCGACTTTAGCCTTGTGCTGCCTTCCACTCTGTGAATTGTGGGCGCTGTGGGCCACCCACCCTGCCTCTCTGGAGAGCCCAGCTGGTTCTCCGTGTCTGCTCCTGCCTCCTGCCTGTGGAGAGTGTGTGCTGACACCTCCGCTTTCTTTCTAGCACCCTCTAAACCTCCTGTGTTCCCTTCGTTATCATGGGCACCATGCCCTGACTTTCCTCTCCCTTAGAAGGTGCTCCAGGTGGAGAGGTGGGGAGTGCCTGCGGCCAGCCTGCCATTTGGGGCTGGGAGTCACCTTGTTCCTTTAGTGGTGGCCTGGAATTCTATTGTTAAGGGCCTTCTCTCAGCATGGAGGTCTTTGTAAAAGCCCAGGGTGCACGTGTGTGAGTGAGTGTGTGTGTGTGTGTGTATGTGTGTGTGAGTGTGTGTCTGTGTCTGGTTTGTCTTTTGCTTTTGAGACTGAGGATGGGACCAGGGCCTCCCGGGTGCTAGGCGGGTGCGCTCCCCTGAGCCGGGCCGGGGCCTTGTGTACTCTCCTAACCTGGCGCCCTTAGTTGCTGACTTAAGGCTGGTCTTGGAGATGAGACCTGGTTGCCAGCGACAGCAGCAGCTGCCTCAAGGCCCGTTCCTGGTTGTAGACCAGGGAGAGGCTGGGGCCGGCCTGGCGGGGTGGAGTCTCAGGGGCTCCCTCCAGTGTGCTGGCCCTTCTGCCCTTTCCTGGTGGTGAAGCAACCCAGGAACCCTCCACCCCAGGGCTGCAGCTTGTCCCCAAGCTGGAGTTAGACGTCCCCACCCCCAGCACTGCTACCGAACTGTGTTTGGGCAGCTCTCACCACATATCTTTCTGCTGACAGTCCCGGCTCTTGGCCCCCTGGGGACTTGTGAGCTCCTTGGATCAGCCATGCTGGCCTTGGATCCCGCCCAGCGTGGCCTTGGCGGTGACAGTCTCTGCCCCTCCCTGCATGCCTCATGCCCCCTCCCGCAGAACAGCTGAGGATGTTGAGCTCTGGGCTCCCGGGCACAGCCCAGCAGCTGCCGTGCACTTACCGTGTGCTGGCTCCACTCCTGCCATGTGCACACAGTAACCCACCTCTTCCTCACAGCCCTCTGAGGTGGGTGCTGTTGGTACCCCCACTCTGAGGCGCAGACAAGCTAGGGGACTGGCCCAGTGCCATGCTTCTTTCAAGTGGTGGAGCTGGGATTCGGATCCAGGCTACCTGCACTCTAGTCCTCTGCGTCAGGAGCCTCCCTCACATTCCCATCCCCAGCTAGAGGGGAGCTGGTGCCGCCTCTGCAGGTGGCCTGCAAGCCCCACTAGACCACCTACCTCATACTTGGCCTTCTCCTGTCCATCCTAAATGTTGTACCCAGAAGGGCCTTGTTACCACCCAGGCCTGGATACTGTGTTTCCCTCTTCAGCCGCCCTGTGAGTTGGAGGTAACATACAACATTCAGTGGCTCCCTATTGCCCATGAAACGGTGTCAGGCTCCTCATGCTGCCCCTTAGGGCTCACCCCAGCTGGCTGTTGAATTCTTCTTTCTCACTGGTTCTCCCAGCCTGTCTCCACTCTCAACTGGGCTAATTCCCTCAGAGCTTCTCCAGTTGATTATATTTCAGTCTATCAGTTATTATTGATTCTTGTGGAGCTCCCGACATCCTCCAGAGTTTTCCCTGGGAAAGCAGAAACAAGCTAACCTTTCTGCAGATCCACCCCACCGCGGGGCCCCACCCCACCGCAGGGCCCACCCAGCGCCCACTCAGCGCCATGCACAGCTGGGAGCCTTGACCTCTGTAGAGATCTCTGTGCTCTGTGGCTGCAGCTGCCAGGACCCTCATCACCACCAGGGAAGCAGGCGAGCCCACACCTCCACTTGGGCACACGCCTGTTAACTGAGATGTGGAAAAAGGAAAGTGACCACCTTCTCAGGTTGCCCCCAAGATCAAGTGACCACTCACTCAGGTGTACAGTCAGGGCTTTAATTAGGTCACTAGTTCAGGCCCCACGTGAGGGCTGCTGGGTTCAAGGTGGTGCCAGCCTGGAGGAAGCAGGGTCCTGCTGGCAGGGAAGGGTGGGTGCAGTGGGGGCCTCTGAGGGCGGGTGGGGCAGCTTTTCCCTTCCTACCTGGAGCAGCGGGGCCCCAACATGGAACTGGGCTGGCAGGGCAGGGCCTCCGCCTCTGGGGATGCTCTCTCTGCTGCTCTGCCACCTCTGCCCAGTGCCCACTCCAGCTTCTCTGACTTCCTGGGCTTGGAAGTCCAAGGGGGGCCTGGGCTGGGGCCTGGCACTAAGGAGTGCCTGTGGAAACCCTGTGTTATGGCGGTCCCAGGACTAGTTCCCAGGAGCCTCCAGCTGCGTTTCCCCAGCTGGACCCCCAGGGGAAGTATGCAGAGCTCAGGGTGGGCTTCCCTCTGCTGTACTGCAGCCAGCCCTGGTGGAGAAGCCTCTGTGCCTATCCCACCCCACCTTTAGGGATGGCTCCGCAGGCACCCTGCGGGGGGGGCGCTTATTTGCCTTTGATGTTGGCAACAATTGGACAAAGGAGGAATCAAATGCCAGAGAGCTCCAGTGCCTCACCCAGAGCCACCACTCTGGCACGTGAGGGTGCTGGGACTTTGGACAGGGAACGTGACGCCAAGAGCGCACACCTGCCTGCTGCTTCACCTTCCTGGAAGGAGCAGGGACTTCTCAGCCACCCGGCACCTTTGCACTGCTGGATCAGGCTGTCTGAGGCCAGCCCCTCCCTGGCCATCACGGGGGGGTTCTGGCTTCTGTGTGCAGCACTTTGGGCTATTGGTGGGGATGCTTCTTTGGGGTGGTCATGGGCTGCTTTGCTTTGTTTCCTTCCTGGGTGGCTGGTGTCAGTGGGCAGTCTGTTTGCAGTCGAACCCTCTGTACCCAGGGCTGCCAGTGACCAGTTGGAGCACAAGGCTGGGGAGGTGGGTGTGGTCAATGACCCTCCTGTGTGGTCACCCACCACCCTGAATCCATGTGACAGCCCTGGTAAGAGGGCACTCCCAGGCATGCTTTTGGGACAGGTGGATGTGGAAGAAGGGTAGTGCTGCCCCTGCTGCCCCTGCTGCCTTGCAGGGTGCGGAGCTCACGGGGGTCCTTGGAGTAGAGGGCTCTGTCCTGCCCTGGCTGTCTTTATGGACTTCCAGACACAGCATACGGAAGCACAGGGTGTGGTGGCTGATTGGAGGGTGGTGTCCCAAACTCCACGGGTCCCCTGCAGCCTGCCAAAATGTTGGCCTTTTACCAGAAAAGGAGAGGAATTTACCAGAAGGGAGCCCTGAAGCCCTGGCTTCACAGCAGCAGATGCAGCCGAGTTCAGCCCTGTGCCCATGCCATCCTCGTGCCACCCCACACCCTCCCGCCCCCTCCAGCCCTGTGCGTTTGCCCTCCCATCCGGGCCCTGCTGTGGCCCACTCGCCCCCGCCCCCAAGAGACCCAGCCTGTCTCTGAGCCGGAGCCGTCGCCTGGAGCTGCCTCTCTGCTTGAGGCTCTCTGGAGGCGCCTGAGGAAGACAGATCTCTTCCCGGGTGCCTTGTGGACATTCCAGCACCCCAACAGGACTGGACCCGCGACAGAGGCCCCCTCCTCGGCCCTGCTGTCTCCCCCTGTTGGTTCCGCTCGCCCAGGGCCCCCTGCTCTCTGCACTCTCGCCCTGTGTTCTGTGTCCGCCTGCCTCTGGGGCTGGCTGAGCTTTTCTTCGGCTCTTGGAGGCCCAGGTAGTCAGGTGCAGAGGGAGCCAGAGAAGGAAGCAAGTGATTGGAGCACGGGAGAGGCCGGAGCTCCTGAGCCCGGAGTGGCAGGGAGCCAGTGAGTGGAAATCAGAAGTGTGGGGCCCAGGCTGTGGCGCCTCACCCCTCAGAGCTCTGCCTTCCTCCCCCAGCGCCCACGGTTCCTGCCGCATCACATGGGAAGGAGGGAGAGCAGGTGAGTGACAGCCAGGGGGACCGGCAAGAAGGATGGAAGCCAGAAACAGAACTGGGCAGAGGGACCTTGGGGAATCCCTGAGGTTGCTAGATAGGCACAGTTAGGGACACCCACAGGGTGATCCCAGATGGTCCCCAAAGGGACCACCTGCTGGTAGCTGTAGCCTGCGGTGCCTCCCTCTGGGCCTGAGGCCACCGGGAGCTGTGGAGGGCAGGTCCTCTCACTCAGCAGACCTGGAGGCTTGCGGAGACTCTGAAGTTCTAACCGTTCCACGCCCTTGTCCCAGCTGCGCTTGGAGTGGCTCGCCTGGCTGCTTGAAAACTCACCGAGTTCCTAACAAGGCCCTTCTGTGTAGAGAGAAGCAGGGGTCCTGGTGGTTGCTGGGGTGAGCCACCCCCCAGCTCTAGGCATTTTCTGGGGCACTGCCACCCTCCTGGGAACCCCCACCTCAGGGGTCCCTCGGGGAGTTTCTGATGGCTGAGCCTCGGGCACACAAAGGCTGCTGGCTTCTCTCTTTCCTCATTAGTGGCAGGATTATTCTGGTGAGGTGAAAACCAAGAAGGCCCAGGGGCTCTGCACAGTGGAAGCCAAAAGAACAAGTGATTCATGCACTCAGGAGGGGTCCGAAACTGGGTGGACACTGGACACCGGCCCTTGTCCCCTGGTCACTGTCTCCTCTGTAGCTGGCCGCGTGGGGCTGGGGCTAGGAATCTCCTGGTTCACTCAGGCAAGGCTGGGGGCTTCTCCAGGTGATGGGCATGCTCAGTGAGGGGCCCGCAGGTGAGGGTCTCAGCCCACTTCACCACCAGACCTTCAGAGATGGCCCCTGTCCCGAAAGAGGCAGGAGGCCTGGGCAGTGGGCTCATCCCTGGAAAGGGCTGTGCTGGACCAGGGACCCAAGCAAGCGGCCAGTTACTGAAGATGGTGGAGGCACTTTGGGACCATGTTCTCGCTGGAAGGCATGTGCTTTCTCCTGGCGCCTACACACAGGGGCTAGTTCATAAAACCAGCCCCTTACAGGGGGTGACAGGCGCCAGCCAAGGTTAGCTCCCCCGGACTCCTTTACAGCCCAATAAGGCACTTAGGGCTGGGATCACTGTTCCCGGAAGGGTCAGGTCTCTCTCAAGGGTCCGTCAGGGAAAGGTTTCCACCCGTCTGTGTCTGTGTCACCATCCTGAGTGCCAATGGAGTCCCTCACAGAGACGGAGACAATGGTAAACATGGAAAGAAGTCACAGTGCAGAAGGACACCCCAGGCAACGGCAACACAGGGTCTTGGGGTTATGTGTGGGTTTCCTTTACTGCTCTGGGTTGCCTTTAATAAGAAAGACCTGCTACCTTTCCCAATTGAGTCAAATGTATGAAAGATGATATATCATGAGCTTTGTAATGTTTTGAACAACCAATAAAAAATAAAAAGAAAGATCTGGGGGTTGGGTGTGGCTCAGCGATGGAGCACTTGCTTAGCGTATGCAAGGCCCTGGATTCAATCCTCAGCACCAAAAGAACCCACAAAATTACAGGGAAGAAAAAAGAGCTGAGAAGTTGGTAGAGGAGGATTAGGAGCTCACGGGGACTCCAGTGAATCTGAAAGTGTTTGAAAGATGCCAACTGTGTGTTTGGGGTGATGATCAGGGCCGTGGTACCTTGAGGATCTGAAATAAAAGAAGGGGGAATGTAGGTTTAGGCCCAGCTTTAGGGAGAAAGCAAGCCCCAGTCAGATGGAGCTGGGGCTGGGGCTAGGGTCCCCCTCCCCAGCTGACCACTTCCAGGTTACTCTGGGGCCAGGTCCCACACCCCAGGGCTCTGGGGGTGGGGGGTGCCCTGGCCCCCACTCAGGCAAGGTATTCTAGGCTCTGTCCCCTTTCTAGAGGGTTGGATTTCCAATTGCAGGGAAGGTGATAGCATTTTCGTGGGGAGGGGAGCAACAGATGTTTCTTGTGTGAAGGAAACAAATTCACTTGCATTGGCCTGTTTAAGAATAAAACAGATGCTATTTATTTGAAATGCCTGGCTGGGGAGACTGTTTCTCCAAATATTTGTAAGGTGGCAACATTAGTGCACTTGGTACAAGGTCGCAGTCAGTCTGTCTAAGGGTTTGCATGCCTCACTGGTTTGCAGAGGGTGGCTTTGGTGCAGATTAAAGATGAGCATCTCCCTCCCCTGCAAAGTGTGCTTGGTTCCAGGGCCCTGGCTTGCAGGCCCTGCTAAGGTCCTCACCTCCAGCCACCTATGATGCACCAATGGTGGCCTCCTAAAACCTTCAGGGAGGCCTGCATCTTGTTTCTTTTCCTCCATCATCACCATCCTGCTGGGGGTGGAAGCTGGGGGCCTCCGCCCTGCTGGGCAAGCACTCTACCACTGAACCACACTCTCTTTGCCTTTATGTTTTAATAACTTTGTTCCTGTCTTTGTTAACTGGAGAGGCAGCCTTGGCATTGCAAGGACCAACCTGAATATCAAGGCCCCTACCCTAAAGCCTGACATGGTACCTTCAGCCCTGCAGCCCAGCCCGGGGCAGAGCTAAGGGCTTGGAAATCAGGCTGGGGAGGAGGTCCTCCCTGTTTACCTGCCTGGCCTGGTGACCTTGGGCTGATGGTGATGGGCTCAGGTTTCTTCAGCAGCCCAGCAGTACCATACCCCTTAGAGGAGGGTTTAAGAATAAAACAGATGCTATTTATTTGAAATGCCCGGATGGGGAACTGTTTCTCCAAATGTTTGTAAGGTGGCAACTTTAGTGCACTCTGGATCACAAGTGAGTTGCTTTGCATGTGTAGGTAATGTGTGGCACCGTGTTTCACCGACAAAGTGAGAAGCCATGAACATTACAAACACTGCGCGGTCATTTCTGCCAAAGTCTTCAGATATTAACCACAGGAGGCATGATGCGCACGGTGATGACAGCGATCTGTTCGTGGGACATTGAGTAGACCTCCCCTAGTCTCTTGAAAGTTGAGGGGTACCTAGAATAAACTCAGTTCATGACCACGCTTGCCTTCCCTGCTCCCATAGAAGCTTAAAACCCCAGGCCAGTGCAATTCCCTTAGAGGTGGCTTTGCTACTTATTACAGTTGTCACTGTCCACTGAGTGGGACTACTGGTTACCACCTCCCAGCACTGCTGGATTTAGTGAGGTCATTTAGCCCAGTGCCTGGCCTTCAGTGAGCTCTCAATAAACAAGAAGGGCAGGTGGCTTGTATTAAAACTTTTCACAGGACTGTCCTAAAGATCAAAAGGACCAGCCGGTGAGACAAAGGTGGTCAGCTGTGAAGAGAGCAGTTGTACTTGCTGAACGCTTTGAGCCCCACTGTGTCCCGGGCTCTGCAGGGTCGGGCGGGTGTTTCGAGGGAGGAGATAAAACAGTGAGATGATGAAAGGGACGTGTGAGTTTTTTTCCTGCCTGTCTTGCAAATCTAGGCCCTGAAGGAAGTGACTGTAGACCAGCCCTCGGAGAGGGTCACTTTGAAGAGACGGGTGCCCTTCTGAATTCAAGTCCCGGCTCCACAGGGAAAGGGATGCCACTGATGTGTGGTCACTTTATAGTCCTGCCAGGACTTCAATAGATGGCACTAGGCCGATGCTTCTAATAGGAACAAAGGAAGGCAGGCTTGACTGAGCACCTGGGAGTGGAGGGGCGGCTGGTTCACGATTCCTTTCTTTCCTGCTCTCGGCCTTGGAGATGTCCCCTCCATGTCTCCGCCCACTCCATCCCTGTGTCAACCTCTTGCCCCCAGCAGAACCCAGCCCAGGCCTGTGTGGGCCTCAGCCTTGGCTCTTCTCCTGTCTGGGATTTGCCCACTCGGTGGTGGGCTCCAAAGGGGTTGGACCCAGGCTTCTCACCAGATAGAAACTGGACTTTCTCGAAGCCGTTGCCCAGAGCTGGCTGAGGGTCCTTTCTGGCTTGTGTGCTCTTTGTCAGTCTGGAGAGTTTTGGGTTGGAGCATCCAGAGGAAAGTTTTTCCAGACCCCAAAGGAGAGTGGGGGCACGGCTTTGCTGACGCCTCTCTGTGACTGGAGGAGCCCCAGCCTGGCTCGGCCCCACTGCCCGCCTCTGTGTCTGCGGCAGGCAGTGCCATCTCTAGGTCAGCGAGCTGGGAGCCACTCAGTGCTCTCCCGTCTGACTGAGGACAAACCCCTGCCTTGTTCCCTGACCTTTACTTCCCGTCCCCACCCTCCCAGTACGCCTCTTTCCTGCCACCTAAGCCTTTCAGCTGCTCCCTCACAGATTCCCCTCTCCTCCTTCCTTCTCTGCTGTCCAGTGTCTGCTGACACTGCTTCCTGCCCGTGCCTGGACAGACTCACGTCTTAACGGTGCCGCCCGCAAGGCTCCGGTCTCCTCTGCGAGCTTTGTTGGAACGCAGGCTTTGTGCTGAGCACAGGGCAGAAGATTTTCACTCAGAATCTCTGCGTTCAGGGAACTTAGTGGTCATTTAACTGGGCCACCCCTTCTTTTATTTTTTGTGATGCTGGGGATGGAGCCTGGGGTCTCGTGCATCCTGGGCAAGCACTGTGCCACCTGGAGCTGCCCCTTCTGAGGTCAACTGCCCCCTCTGCAGTGGAAAATCACTACAGGCGGAGGATCTGTGGTCAGATGAGCCTGTGCTGTTTCCCTCTGGTGAATTTTGAACACATGACCACATGGAAGGCTCTGGAAAGTTCCACACCATGGAAACCTGTTTTCTTTGAGTCGGACTCCTTGTAATGGAGACTGTCCATCTCAGCCTGTCTGTGAGAGCTCTCCTGACTTTCCGGGTCCAGATCTGGTCAGCTGTTTTAGAGAAAAGATCCTCTTTGCACCTCGTGGAAATGGGTCTCATTTCCGTTCTGGCTGCCTCTGGGCCCCTGGGCAACGTCCAGAGATACCTCTTTTTCTTCCTGGAGCTGAAGACCCCTGGTCCCTTCTCCCTCTGTCCTTGCACAGGGTCTTAGGCCTTCCCACCTTCTTGGGAGCCTCCACTGACCAGCCCCAGCTTCCCTGGAGTGTGGGGTCTGCATGGGGTGGAGCAGGGCGTCAAGGGGTGGGTGGGAGTAGGTGAATTTAATGTTCAGGTGGACTTGGCCATTTCTACAGGAATCATCTTTCTAGTGCATCTGGAATATTCTATTAGATCTATCATTCTTTGTTTGTTTGTTTGGGACTTTTCCTTCTTACCATAATGAGTATGTGGCCTCCAGGACTCACCGTGGTATCCCGGCCTCCAGGGGTGTGGTCACACATGCCACTGAGCTCTTCCCTCAAGCTCTGTGCTTCTGAAATTGGCTTGGGGTCTTAGTTTCGGGACCTTGATCTTTTTTTTTTTTTTTAATAAGCTCCTTTATTTATTGCCACATGATTTTTAAATTTATTTTTTAGTTATTGGTGGACACAATGTCTTTATTTTTACATTTATGTGGTGCTGAGGATCGAACCCAGTGCCTTACGCATGCTAGGCAGGCGCTCTACATCTGAGTCACAATCCCAGCCCCCTTGATCTTTTTTAAATGAAAAAAATTTTTAATTGTAGTAAGGTGTGTGTGTGTGTAAAGTAAAATGTACTTCTTTAAAAAATTTTTTTCTGGTGCATGGAACCCCAAGGCCTTGTGCATGCTAGGCAAATGCTTAAGCCCTGAGCTACAGGACAGCCCCAGCCCCCAAAATGACCACTTTCAAATATGCAGTTTAGTGACATTAAGTACATTCACCATCGTCCGGTCCCTGAACTTTTTCTTTTTCCTTCTCTTTTCCCCTCCTTCCCTCCTTCCTTCCTCTCTTTTTATGGTACTAGGGAGTGAACCTAGGGGCACACTCCCAGCCCTTTTTATTTTTGTTTGGGGACGGGGTTTTGCCACCTTTCTGGGTGGCTCAATCACAGAGGGTCCACCTGACCGATGGGGAATCTGCCCTGTGGGTCTCCCGCCCAGGGCCTGACAGAGGGCCTTGCTCACCCGAGCAGCAACTCCAGTCGACCATGGTTTTCTGTTGGGCCCGTTTGACCACCAGCTTTCAAAGGGGCATGAGCCACATGGCCCAGCAGTTGCACTGAGATGTCTACCCAAAGAAACCAAGAGGGAGTTCCACACAAACACGTGTGTACCAGTGTTCAAAGCAGCGTTATTTGTAGAGCCAAAAAGTGGGAGTGGCCCAAGGTCGTCACCTGATGAAGGGATGGACCAAGTGTGGCGTGTGTCTGCAAGTGGAACGTTTTTTGGCAACAGAAAGGAATAAAGTCGATGGATGCACGCTGCATAAATGAGTGAACCTTGAAAATGTTAGTGAAGGGAAAGAAGCCAGACAGGAAAACTATATATTGTGTGAGTCCGTTTATGAGAAATTTCTAGGTGTCAAATCCACAGAGACAGAAATGCTAGTAGTTGCTAAAGGACCAGGGAGAGAGAAGCAGGGGGGATGAGTGCTAATGGCTATGGATTGTTTTTTAGGGTGATGAAAATATTCTGGAATTAGATGGTAATGATGGTGGCATAGAGTTGTGAATATACTAAGAGCCACTGAACAGGCTGGGTGCAGTGGCCACGCCTATTATCCCAGACAACTGGGAAGCTGAGGAAGGAGGATCCCAAGTTAGAGGCTAGTCTCAGCAAGAATGCAGCTAGTGACAGAGCATGGCCAGGTTCAATTTCCAGAAATACAAAAACAGTACCACTGAACTGGTCAGTTTATAGGAGGAGATGGTATAATGTGTGAATTATGTCTCAATCAAGCTGGCGTTTTGTTTGTTTGTTTGTTTGGT